CCCACCAGACGCTCCCATCACATGCCCCCACCAGACGCTCCCATCACATGCCCCCACCAGACGCTCCCATCACATGCCCCCACCAGACGCTCAAATCACATGCCCCCACCAGACGCTCAAATCACATGCCCCCACCAGACGCTCAAATCACATGCCCCCACCAGACGCTCAAATCACATGCCCCCACCAGACGCTCAAATCACATGCCCCCACCAGACGCTCAAATCACATGCCCCCACCAGACGCTCAAATCACATGCCCCCACCAGACGCTCCCATCACATGCCCCCACCAGACGCTCCCATCACATGCCCCCACCAGACGCTCAAATCACATGCCCCCACCAGATGCTCCCATCACATGCCCCCACCAGACGCTCCCATCACATGCCCCCACCAGACGCTCCCATCACATGCCCCCACCAGACGCTCCCATCACATGCCCCCACCAGACGCTCCCATCACATGCCCCCACCAGACGCTCCCATCACATGCCCCCACCAGACGCTCCCATCACATGCCCCCACCAGACGCTCCCATCACATGCCCCCACCAGACGCTCCCATCACATGCCCCCACCAGACGCTCCCATCACATGCCCCCACCAGACGCTCAAATCACATGCCCCCACCAGACGCTCAAATCACATGCCCCCACCAGACGCTCCCATCACATGCCCCCACCAGACGCTCCCATCACATGCCCCCACCAGACGCTCAAATCACATGCCCCCACCAGACGCTCCCATCACATGCCCCCACCAGACGCTCCCATCACATGCCCCCACCAGACGCTCCCATCACATGCCCCCACCAGACGCTCCCATCACATGCCCCCACCAGACGCTCCCATCACATGCCCCCACCAGACGCTCAAATCACATGCCCCCACCAGACGCTCCCATCACATGCCCCCACCAGACGCTCCCATCACATGCCCCCACCAGACGCTCAAATCACATGCCCCCACCAGACGCTCCCATCACATGCCCCCACCAGACGCTCCCATCACATGCCCCCACCAGACGCTCCCATCACATGCCCCCACCAGACGCTCCCATCACATGCCCCCACCAGACGCTCAAATCACATGCCCCCACCAGACGCTCAAATCACATGCCCCCACCAGACGCTCCCATCACATGCCCCCACCAGACGCTCAAATCACATGCCCCCACCAGACGCTCAAATCACATGCCCCCACCAGACGCTCAAATCACATGCCCCCACCAGACGCTCAAATCACATGCCCCCACCAGACGCTCCCATCACATGCCCCCACCAGACGCTCCCATCACATGCCCCCACCAGACGCTCAAATCACATGCCCCCACCAGACGCTCCCATCACATGCCCCCACCAGACGCTCCCATCACATGCCCCCACCAGACGCTCCCATCACATGCCCCCACCAGACGCTCCCATCACATGCCCCCACCAGACGCTCCCATCACATGCCCCCACCAGACGCTCCCATCACATGCCCCCACCAGACGCTCCCATCACATGCCCCCACCAGACGCTCCCATCACATGCCCCCACCAGACGCTCCCATCACATGCCCCCACCAGACGCTCCCATCACATGCCCCCACCAGACGCTCCCATCACATGCCCCCACCAGACGCTCCCATCACATGCCCCCACCAGACGCTCCCATCACATGCCCCCACCAGACGCTCAAATCACATGCCCCCACCAGACGCTCCCATCACATGCCCCCACCAGACGCTCCCATCACATGCCCCCACCAGACGCTCCCATCACATGCCCCCACCAGACGCTCCCATCACATGCCCCCACCAGACGCTCCCATCACATGCCCCCACCAGACGCTCCCATCACATGCCCCCACCAGACGCTCCCATCACATGCCCCCACCAGACGCTCCCATCACATGCCCCCACCAGACGCTCCCATCACATGCCCCCACCAGACGCTCCCATCACATGCCCCCACCAGACGCTCCAATCACATGCCCCCACCAGACGCTCAAATCACATGCCCCCACCAGACGCTCAAATCACATGCCCCCACCAGACGCTCAAATCACATGCCCCCACCAGACGCTCAAATCACATGCCCCCACCAGACGCTCAAATCACATGCCCCCACCAGACGCTCCAATCACATGCCCCCACCAGACGCTCCCATCACATGCCCCCACCAGACGCTCCCATCACATGCCCCCACCAGACGCTCCCATCACATGCCCCCACCAGACGCTCCCATCACATGCCCCCACCAGACGCTCCCATCACATGCCCCCACCAGACGCTCCCATCACATGCCCCCACCAGACGCTCCCATCACATGCCCCCACCAGACGCTCCCATCACATGCCCCCACCAGACGCTCCCATCACATGCCCCCACCAGACGCTCCCATCACATGCCCCCACCAGACGCTCCCATCACATGCCCCCACCAGACGCTCCCATCACATGCCCCCACCAGACGCTCCCATCACATGCCCCCACCAGACGCTCCCATCACATGCCCCCACCAGACGCTCCCATCACATGCCCCCACCAGACGCTCCCATCACATGCCCCCACCAGACGCTCCCATCACATGCCCCCACCAGACGCTCCCATCACATGCCCCCACCAGACGCTCCCATCACATGCCCCCACCAGACGCTCCCATCACATGCCCCCACCAGACGCTCAAATCACATGCCCCCACCAGACGCTCAAATCACATGCCCCCACCAGACGCTCCCATCACATGCCCCCACCAGACGCTCAAATCACATGCCCCCACCAGACGCTCAAATCACATGCCCCCACCAGACGCTCAAATCACATGCCCCCACCAGACGCTCAAATCACATGCCCCCACCAGACGCTCCCATCACATGCCCCCACCAGACGCTCCCATCACATGCCCCCACCAGACGCTCAAATCACATGCCCCCACCAGACGCTCCCATCACATGCCCCCACCAGACGCTCCCATCACATGCCCCCACCAGACGCTCCCATCACATGCCCCCACCAGACGCTCCCATCACATGCCCCCACCAGACGCTCCCATCACATGCCCCCACCAGACGCTCCCATCACATGCCCCCACCAGACGCTCCCATCACATGCCCCCACCAGACGCTCCCATCACATGCCCCCACCAGACGCTCCCATCACATGCCCCCACCAGACGCTCCCATCACATGCCCCCACCAGACGCTCCCATCACATGCCCCCACCAGACGCTCAAATCACATGCCCCCACCAGACGCTCCCACCACATGCCCCCACCAGACGCTCCCATCACATGCCCCCACCAGACGCTCAAATCACATGCCCCCACCAGACGCTCCCATCACATGCCCCCACCAGACGCTCCCATCACATGCCCCCACCAGACGCTCCCATCACATGCCCCCACCAGACGCTCCCATCACATGCCCCCACCAGACGCTCCCATCACATGCCCCCACCAGACGCTCCCATCACATGCCCCCACCAGACGCTCCCATCACATGCCCCCACCAGACGCTCCCATCACATGCCCCCACCAGACGCTCCCATCACATGCCCCCACCAGACGCTCCCATCACATGCCCCCACCAGACGCTCCCATCACATGCCCCCACCAGACGCTCAAATCACATGCCCCCACCAGACGCTCAAATCACATGCCCCCACCAGACGCTCAAATCACATGCCCCCACCAGACGCTCAAATCACATGCCCCCACCAGACGCTCAAATCACATGCCCCCACCAGACGCTCAAATCACATGCCCCCACCAGACGCTCCCATCACATGCCCCCACCAGACGCTCCCATCACATGCCCCCACCAGACGCTCAAATCACATGCCCCCACCAGACGCTCCCATCACATGCCCCCACCAGACGCTCCCATCACATGCCCCCACCAGACGCTCCCATCACATGCCCCCACCAGACGCTCCCATCACATGCCCCCACCAGACGCTCCCATCACATGCCCCCACCAGACGCTCCCATCACATGCCCCCACCAGACGCTCCCATCACATGCCCCCACCAGACGCTCCCATCACATGCCCCCACCAGACGCTCCCATCACATGCCCCCACCAGACGCTCCCATCACATGCCCCCACCAGACGCTCCCATCACATGCCCCCACCAGACGCTCCCATCACATGCCCCCACCAGACGCTCCCATCACATGCCCCCACCAGACGCTCCCATCACATGCCCCCACCAGACGCTCCCATCACATGCCCCCACCAGACGCTCCCATCACATGCCCCCACCAGACGCTCCCATCACATGCCCCCACCAGACGCTCAAATCACATGCCCCCACCAGACGCTCCCATCACATGCCCCCACCAGACGCTCCCATCACATGCCCCCACCAGACGCTCCCATCACATGCCCCCACCAGACGCTCCCATCACATGCCCCCACCAGACGCTCCCACCACATGCCCCCACCAGACGCTCCCATCACATGCCCCCACCAGACGCTCCCATCACATGCCCCCACCAGACGCTCCCATCACATGCCCCCACCAGACGCTCCCATCACATGCCCCCACCAGACGCTCCCATCACATGCCCCCACCAGACGCTCCCATCACATGCCCCCACCAGACGCTCCCATCACATGCCCCCACCAGACGCTCCCATCACATGCCCCCACCAGACGCTCCCATCACATGCCCCCACCAGACGCTCCCATCACATGCCCCCACCAGACGCTCCCATCACATGCCCCCACCAGACGCTCCCATCACATGCCCCCACCAGACGCTCCCATCACATGCCCCCACCAGACGCTCCCATCACATGCCCCCACCAGACGCTCCCATCACATGCCACCATCCTATCGCCCCCTCCCACCACCCCATGCCATCACCCGATCCTCCATCTCAACTGGTGCATCGTGCGCTGGCAGCCTATGTGTTGGCATACCTCTCCTTCTAAGGCGTTTCAAGTACACAACCCATCCCATCACCCCATGCCATGACCCCATCCTTCGCCTCATACCCCATCATCCTGTCCAACAGGTGCATCGAGCAGTGGCAGCCAATGTGTTGGCGTACCTCTCCTTCCTCCCTCGCGTGCCGGCCATCGTCCCTGCCTTGCTGTACGTCCCTTCTCTTCTTCCCTGCCCTTCCCTTCTCTTTCCTGCCCTTCCCTTCTCTTTCCTGCCCTTCCATTCACTTCCCTTCCTTTCCCTTCTCTTCCCTGCCGTTCCCTTCTCTTCCCGTCCCTTTCCCTTCCCTTCCCTCCCCAAACATTTCCGTTCCTTCCCATCCCTTCGCATCTTCCCCCATTCGTCACCTTCGTCTCCCCTCAATCCTTACATTCTCCACAACTCTACCTCTTTTGCTTTCACATGCACATCTGTGCCTCCTGCCTGCACAACCGCTCTCTCTCGCAACCCCCCCACCCCAGCAAGCTGGCCTGGCAGGATCCCACGCCCACTCCCATGCCTGCAAGGGGCGGCAGAAAGAGCGGCCGTAACCGTTCGAGACGTCTTATAATATGCTCCCCCTCCATCCTCCTTCCCTTTCAGGCAATCCCTCTCGCAGGGGCTGCTGCCTCCCACATCGCAGCAAGCAGGCCTGGCAGGAGGCACGGCCACACCTGCAAGGGGCAGCAGGAGGTTTGGCAGCAGCAGTGGCGGTGGTGGTAGAGCGAGTGAGCAGGCCACGTCTGCATGTGCTGCTGCGCTCTGCGCCCTCTGTGAGGCACACAATTCCGATGGTTCACCGCCTGCTGCTGCTGCTGCTGCTGCTGCATCCGCGTCGTTGAATGAAGGCTTGGCGGCACAGCTGGTGGCCGTGGGCGAGGTGAGGGGCTTTTTTAGACGCCTCAAAAAGAGCTCAATTTTTGAGGCGCCTCAAAAATCGCCTGAAAAATAGGTTTTTTTAGACGCCTCAAAAAGAGCTCTGCACCCTGTGTTAGGTACCTCACCACTAAAAACCCAATCCACCTCTCCCTTTCTTGCTATGCGATGACTCTCTTTAAGTCCTTTCCCGCTAGGAAGGGAAAAACGTACTACTCACTCCATTGCTCATTCACCCTCTCCCCCTCCCTCCGACCCTCGCCCCCACTCCATTGTTCTCTCCCCCACTTCCCCTCCCTCCACCTCCGTCCTCCATCCCATTCAGGCCCTACACCTGGCGCGCCTACAGCCGAAGCAGGAGGCTGACGTCATCACAGCAGTGGCCTCCACCGTCTCCTCCCTGCCGCCCTCCCACCTGCTGCTGGCGTTGCAGCGCCTGCTGCACCCCGTGCTTGCGACATTGCAAGCATTTTCCTCGGTAATGCTCCGTGCAGCACTGCATGTGTTTCCCTCGGTACGGTACGGCACCATGCAGCATTGCATGCACTCTCCTTGGTAACCTCTGTCTGTCGTGACACTGAACCCACCTCGCTGCTGGCTGGCACTGCAGCACCTGCTGTACCCCGTGCTTGCAGCCCTGCATACATTCTCGGTAGGTAATTCGCTGCTCTACCTACCGTCTGAGTCGAATGTAGAGCCCAACAGAACAGGGCTTTAAGCACCGAAGGGGCTTCAAGCACCGAATAGCAAAACACAAGTCCACAAATGAGCTATGTTCACATCTCTAGAGGGGTCTCTCAGTACACCCTCCAGTCATCTTCATTTTTTTTTTTTTCAAGTTTTTTCTCTTCTTTTCATTCCGTTTCTTTTCCTTTCTTTTTCTTTCGTTCGTTAACGATCTCATTCTCCCTGCATTCATCCCCCCCCCACACAACCGCCCCTAAGCAACAACCGACCAACAAGAGCTGCTGTGATGCTGCTGCTTCCCTTTTGTGAACTCTCAAAAGTGCTTCCCCTCCATCTGCATCGCATAACCATCCCATTCTCCCTCCCTGCCTTCATCCCCTCTCCACCCCACGGCAGCAACAACCGACCAACAAGAGCTGCTGTGAGGCTGCTGCCTCCTTGACCAGGTGAGGCGTCTCCATCCAACATTGTGCGGCAGTGCAAAGACGCAAACTGGTTGATTCAGCACCGCCTTACTGTTTGCACCTTCCGTTTCAACTTCTGTCTTGCCTCCTGCGTCAACACCATACACTTAGCTCGTTGTTCCAGAAAGGAACTTTGCAAACCATGTTCTTCCCCCCCCCCCAGGCTCACCATTCTGTTGGAGCACATCCACCTACCATCACCTGAGGTTCAGAGGCAGGACCCTCACCTGCCACAGTACCTGCAGCAGCTGGCCCCCTCGCTACAGTCACACCAAATGCAATCACCAAATCCACAAGTGCCACAATCAGGGGAGGCACATGGGGGAATCCAATCGTTCCTGCTCTCCTCCTGCTGGCCGCATCTGCAATTCCTCCTCTCCCTCCCCTCCGCCCCATCTTCCCCCACTCTCGACCGTGATGCCCTGACCACGGTGGTGGCTGCTGCTGCCCGCTGCCTCGCCCCACTCGCCACGCTCTCAGGTGATTTGCACTCTCAGGCGATCTCTCGCCCCTTTTATCACCCACCGGGTCCAACCTTCCTCCCCTGCATCCACCCCGGCCTCGCCTCTCTTGAATCCGCGTTCTATCCCCACCACTGCCGTGGCTGCTGCTGCTCCGCGCAGCCTCGCTCCACCCCCCTCGTTATTAAGTGATTTCGCCCCTCTCCTTTCACCCACCAGCTCCAACCGTCCTCCCCCGGCATCCACCCCGGCCTTGCCTCTCTCGAATCTCCTGCATGTTCCGTGCCATGTCTCGCCAGTCTACCACCTCTGCACCTTCCTCCCTTGTTCAAACCGTGATTAACTCCTTCCCTTCCCCACAACATCCCATCCCGCCAGGTCCATCCTTCCTCCCTTGCACCGAATCCGCCCTAGCCTCTCTCCAATCCGCCTTCTCTGCATCTGGCCCGCCACCCGCCCCTCTCTCCCTCTCCGCCTGCCCGCCCATCCTCCGAGCCTCCGAGTCCCTCCTCTCCCTCCAACCGCAACCGCCCGCCACCGCGGATCAGCTCCAGCTCAGCACGGCCCGCGCCACGTCAGCGCTGATGTGCTTCGTGTCAGCGCCTGCCAGCGTGGCACTCAAGGGTCCCAAGGGCGCAGAGCAGCATCCGGAGCTCACTGAATCACTGCTGCACTTTGCAACTTCTCGTCTTGGCCTCGTGCCGCCTTCTCACCTGGTGAGACATCGCCCACACCCACTCCCTCCCACTCACTCCCACTCCTGCACGCGCCCTCGTCTCTCCTCTCAAAGCTGCTAAGGGATGGAGCAGCATCCGGAGCTCACGGAAGCGCTGCTGCACTTCGCAACATTTCTCCTCGGCCTCGTGCCTCCTGCTCACCTGGTGAGACAGTTTAGTTTTGAGTCGACTCAAAACTAGCCTCCTGCTCACCTGGTGAGACAGTTTAGTTTTGAGTCGACTCAAAACTAGCCTCCTGCTCACCTGGTGAGACAGTTTAGTTTTGAGTCGACTCAAAACTAGCCTCCTGCTCTCCTGGTGAGACAGTCTAGTTTTGAGTCGACTCAAAACTAGCCTCCTGCTCACCTGGTGAGACAGTTTCGTTTTGAGTCGACTCAAAACTAGCCTCCTGCTCACCTGGTGAGACAGTTTAGTTTTGAGTCGACTCAAAACTAGCCTCCTGCTCACCTGGTGAGACAGTTTAGTTTTGAGTCGACTCAAAACTAGCCTCCTGCTCACCTGGTGAGACAGTTTAGTTTTGAGTCGACTCAAAACTAGCCTCCTGCTCACCTGGTGAGGCATCTCCCACGCCCACTCCCTCCCTCCCACTCATTCACTCCCTCTCCTGCACGCTCTCCTCACAAGGCCAATAAGTGGACAGAGCAGCACCTGGAGCTCACGTAAGGAGGTGACTTTTGAGTCGACTCAAAAGTCACAAGGCCCATAAGGGGACAGAGCAGCACCCGGAGCTCACGTAAGCACTGCTGCGCTTTGCCCTGTCCATCATCCCTCGGTACAAACTTCTCCTCGCCTCTCCTTCCCCTTCCTCCAGGCCTCAGACCCCTCGTCACCCGTGCTCCCACCGCTCTCCCATCTCCTGCAAGTCGCGGCTCCAGGCTGCACAGCAGCACACAGGGGAGTGTCAGCCTCCTCCTTCGCCTTCATCTCAGGTGGGTCACTGCAGGCTGCCGCTTCTTCATTCGCCTCAAAAAGCACCCTCCTGTTTCCCGCTCGCCCATGCTGCTACTGTTCCTCGCCCACCTCTTGCGCGGCGATGCACGGCGGGCGGCACACAGGGAGGTCTTCTCCTCCTCCTCCTTCGCCTTCATCTCATCTCAGGTCCGTCACATGCCTTAGCATGTCTTCGTTGTCACAATCGCTGCCAGCCTCTGACAGCTCCTGCACCTAATAGTACAGTTAGGCCTTCACAGCCCACCTGTCTGCTTCTGACAGCTCCTCCTCCTTCGCCTTCATCTCATCTCAGGTGCGTCACATGCCTTAGCATGTCCTCATTGTTACAATCGCTGCTGCGCTCACCTCCCCCTCCAGTCACTACCACCACGCCACCCACGCCTCTCATCACTTCCATTCCAACCCCCTTCCACCCCTCATTACCACCCCGGCTCCCCTCGATCATCCCACGCTTCCAGCCCTGATGACAGCAGGGATACAGCAGGCTGGGGCTCTCTCGTTACAGTCACAGTCACAATCACAGGCACAGCAGGGGGTGCCTCCGCTGGTGCAGCTCTGCACGGCTCATGGCGCTCTGCTCTCCCACACTCTCGTTGCTGCCCTGCTGGGTCCGAGCGCTGTTTCACGGGTACGTGTGCTGTGGCACTTGCATGTGTGCTTTGCCACTGCCACTGCTACTGCCACTGCCGCTGCCACTGCTACTGCCACTGCCACTGCCACTGCTACTGCCACTGCCGCTGCCACTGCTACTGCCACTGCCGCTGCCACTGCCAGCTATCTTCTTGTTCTCGCCCACCCACGGAATGTTTTCCTCTCAGTTTTAGGCCATTTATAATCGATTGTGAAGCCATTCCATTTTCCTTCCCACCTTCCCCCTCCGTGCTCCCCACCAGGTGCACAAGTGTGTGAGCATGCTGCAGCAACTCTTCCACGTGTGCTGCTGTGCAGCTCGAGCTTCCTTTCATGCACAGGGAAGCACGCCCGTGCCAGCAGAAGCTGAAGCTGCAGCGGCGGCGGTGGCGGCAGTGCAGGCAGCACTGCCCCCAATGCACCAATGGCTTGTGGCAGCGGTGGGTGGGTGGGTGGCTGGCTGGCTGGGTGGGTGGTTAGTTGTGGAGGGGGGGTTAAGAGGATGGGGTCGTGTCGTGTCGTGCCAAGTGTGCTTCAATCAAGTCCTGCAGCACCAGTGCAGGCAGCACTGCCCTCAATGCACCAATGGCTTGTGGCAGCGGTCGGTGGCTGGCTGGCTGGCTGGGTGGGTGGCTGGGTGGGTGGCTGGGTGGCTGAGTGGCTGGGTGGGTGGCTGGGTGGGTGGCTGGGTGGGTGGGTGGCTGGGTGGCTGGCTGGTGGGTGGCTGGGTGGCTGGTTCTGGAGTTGGGGTCGTGTTGTGTCAACGCCCCTTTGATTGCCCCATTCAATCATCTTGCAGACCGAGTCACCCTTATCAATTTCTTTCCTTCTTTCCCCAATCTCCCACCCTATTCATCCCACACCTCGTTTTACTTCCCGTGCCCATTCCACATCCCCCGCACCTGTCACTGTCTTAGCTCTCCTCTGGCTTTTTCAGAGCAGGAGAGGCAGATGCAATCCCCCCCTGCATGGTTCACATCCTTAATCCCTCCTTCATCTCCCTCCTTGCTGCTTGCCACTCCGCACCTGTTCCCCCACACCAATCCTACATCCCCCTCGCCTCTCCCAGCTATCAGCCCTGCCGCCTGGCTTCCAGAGAGCACCAGAAGCGAGGCGACCATCCCTGCGTGGCTCACATTCTCAATCTCACGATCATCTCTGCTGGATTTATTCTTTTAAAACTCTCGAGAATGAATCCGCCGCCTTACACCTGTTTTGCCCTTGCATTTCACAGCTATCCCCCCTGCCGCCTGGCTTCCTGTGAGCAGCGGAGGCAATCCTCCCTGCGTGGCTCACATCACATTCTCAGTCCCTCTTCCACTTCCCGCATTGCCCCGTGCCACGCCCCGCTTGCTCCCACCAACAATTTTTCAGCTCTCCTCCCTGCCGCACGGCTTTTTGAGAGCAGGAGAAGCAGAGGCAGTCCTCCCTGCGTGGCTCACGCAGCTTGCCTCTTCTCCTCCGCCTCTCACCGGTTCGTCATCTGAGGCTGAGTGGGGCAACACCCGCATGCTGAGACGGCTGCTGCGGAGCTTTGCGGATTCGCACAGGCACACAGCTGTCGGCGCATAAATGTTGGCGAATACTGTTGTAATGATTTGGTACATTATTTCAGACGTCTCAAGCATTACAATATCTTCCTTATAGCAGGAGAGTCGGAGGCAGTCCTCCCTGTGTGGCTCTCGCAGGTAGCATCTCACCGGTTTGGCATCCGAGGTCGAATGGGAGGACAGGACAGCACCAGCATTCTCAGACTGCTGCCGGGGAGCTTTGCGGATTCGCACCGGTACACAGCCGTTGGTGCATGAGAGTTGGCGTAACCCGTCGTAGTTCATTGTGTTGCGCGCATTCTTTATGCGGCGCTGGGATGCGAGTTAGTGTAGTGCTGGTAAGTAGCAATGCAGCAGTGAGGTAGGTAAGTTGTGTCCTGTTCCGATGAGCATCATCGCAAGCACCACTAAGAGCACAAACGAGTGCTAAAGGAGCTAGGAAATGAGAAAACATGAATGGTTACATGTTAGATAGTGATCTAAACCAGGACACAACATGATCAGGCCAGTGAGCTGGTGAAAGAGGTGTGTGAAGCTTCTGTTCAGTACTGCTTTGTTTTAGGTGTAGTGTAAGGTTCTGGAACATGAGATACCTAATACACCTACCCATATTTGCGACTCAGAACGAATTATTCAGAAATACGGTCGTGCTGCCAGGGCTGTTGGTTAGCCAAGTCGCAGCAAGCGTCAGATGCGGCACCTCTGTTACGTGCCAGTGACATCAGCCACTCACATGTGAAGGCGGAACTGTTGCACGAACCAGATCCAGGGTTCGTGCAATGCGTTCCCAGTTACGGGGCCACCAGCTGCGCCAGTATCGCCACGTGGAATTCTTTCCTCACCGAGCCGCTCCACATTCCTGGACCAAGGGCGCTCAAGGGGCGCAGCACCGAGCCGCAATGTTGGAGCGAGTCAAACACGGCACGCAGACATTTCGTTTCGATTCGACTCATTCTTTGCGCCCCTCTTCCTACCCCGAGCGCCCCATCCGCACCACACATTCACCAATCGCCACGCGCACTACACCATCCATTCCATAGTTTTTTTCGTCCAATGGAAACTGTTCAGCCAAGGCATGTGTGCTTGCTGCGGCTGGATACTAGAAGGTCGTTCGACTTCGGTTCACCGCGATAGAACAATATTTATAGTAGTCTTGACGGGTTGGGTAAGGTTCCTGCCAAACCCTTCCTCGCTTTACCGTATACTCATCCCACCCAAACACTTTCCAAGTTCCAACTTGTTCCGTTACATCGAAGCCTTCGATTGGAGCACACTTTCCCCACCGCAAGTTTGCTGTGGTAGCTGGTTCAGGAAGTCACTGTCCTTCACCTTTATCCACCTGTGCTGGAGCAGAGCAGCTCGATTCGCGCTTGCCTTCACAGCACAGTGCACAAGTCGCCGCGGCATAGTTTGTCGAAGGCGGTCAAGGGACATAGCTCGACGAAGCGATCGAGCTCTGTTCAAAGCTATGAGGTGTCATGACATGAGGTCTATACAATCCCTTATCACTCGTTCCAGGGTTCAACCAGGCGAGGTCCATTGTAATAGACGCCAGCGCGCATAGCATCTGCTCTGCAATAGTTTATTTTCCATAATATTTTATCGTTTCTTAGACACACTGTAGTCGACTTGTAGGGTCTAACCAGCGCAGCGGGTCATAATCAACTCATGGAACGTCAGTCGCTTCGCAGCCGCCACCGGCTGAGTCTCCTCCATTCCCTCAATTCATTCTCCTGATACTTGCCTTTGCTCCAGTTCGTCCCCACTATAGTCATAGAAGTACGCATTCTATCGTCTGCACCCTTCCCGTTACTGCAAAGATTAAAAATAAAGATATATAGAAGTCGG